ATTCTGTGCAGAAAATTTAAATAATTGTTTGTAGTATATAAAACAATCATAAAATTGCCATTAGGAAAAAAATATTGATTACAAATGATTGATTATTGTCCAGCAGTGTATTTGATTTCTTATAGCAAATTCAAAGTAATAGATAAGAAATGAATTCCTTGTAAAAAAATAAATAAAAATAATTATAATACATACATAAAATTATTGTATTTGACATTTCTGTCACTTCTGAAATTATTTAAAAAATCTTTTTTTAAATCTTGGCTTACATACATTTTTTTAGTATGCCATGTCATGCCATAGCATCATTAAACTAGCATCTAACAATGGACAAAAGTGTTTTTTTTTCTCTAACCTATGGTTCTGTAACCATAAAGGCTGCTGTGTAATTTGCCCCTTGACTAAGCATTTAAAGAATTTAGGGGAAGCATTTAAATAATCCTGTGAATGCACTTAAAGAATGCAGAATCGAATCGTTAATCGAAATCGAATTTAATTGTGAATCGAATCGTTCTAAATTAGCAAAAATCGTTCTTGAATCGAAAACCTATGAATCGTGAATCGAATCGCTGTCTACCCAAAGATCCACAGCCCTACATAGTAGCATAGGCATCAAAAGCCTTCTGACTGTATTGTTGCGCAGTGTTTCTCCTGTTTGTCAGCACTCTTTCATCTGGCTGTAAATTAGAATAAATCAATGAGTCATTTGTGTTCTTCATTGAATTCAAGTGCTTCACACTGTATCTCACAGCGCTGTTTAAAAGAGCTGCCGTTTGAACTTTGATCCGAGTGGATAAACTGTCCGTGTGGTGCGGTTCAAATGAGTAGTGCCGTTTCGTTATGCTTTTGGTGCATAAACATTATATCGAACATTTATCAAACTGTTATTATCATTTTCGTAAGTATCGTTATAATTTAATCGTATGAAAAATCTTAATGAAACGCTCATACTTATAAAGACCTGAGAGAATATATTCAGTATGCGGACAAAAGTGTTTGCTAAATTAAAAAGTGCAAATAAATAGATGCACTGTTAAGTGAAGCATGCCCTGATCTATGCTTGACAACAACTACTGGCTTTTCACTTGCCACTGCTGTGACGAGATTAAAACTCATGCATATTTAACAGCAATGGTGAGTCAACTTAGTTTTTTTTTATTTTTACTTTCTCTTTGTGTTTACTTTTACTTTTCATTTATGCATTATCAACACACAGCGACAGACTAATCTAAGACATGAATTCAAGACTAAAAGAAGAGCATGCCACTAGTAAGACCAAATTCATGGATTTGATTTCCAGGGAGCACATGAATCGGGGAAAAAAAAATTAATGCAGACCTTGAATGCAATATAAGTTCCATTAGATAAAAGCATCTGCCAAATGCATAAATGCACAGTAAGGCAAGGCAAGGCAAGTAGGACTTCAGCCAAAGGCTACAAACTGTCCTCTCCGATTGTGTGAATGAACAGGGGAAGTGAGATGAAAATGCCAGAGAAAGCTCATGGGAAGCGGGACTCAGTCTGGACATTCCCGTCTGCTCCCCTGAGCCTCTTTGATACGAGCTGTGCCAGGCCTAAACTAACCAGCATGTATTTGTTTTTCACAGTTATAGACTGGTGGGCCAAAGTAAACATAAGGTGACAGTGACTATGCATGCAATGTGGGCCCTCCATATGAATGCAAGAACATCACTATTCACTAATCAGCATTCAACCAACAGGCATGATACACTGACAAGTCCTGTGGACTGAATCTATCAAACATTTTTGGTCAAAAAAGTTCGAGCTATGTTACTTCTAATAGTGCTGATTACAATCTTCAAGCAACCACTAGAGACAGTGAAGAAAAAAAAATCATCAGTAGAGTGCTTCCACTTCTTATTACCCACATCCCCTCCTCTTCTGATTGGTGGACGGATAACAGAAGCATTTCCTGATCCTACCAGCCACGACCACTATAGGTCACACACTTGCACTTAATTTGACCAACTGGACTAAAACAAAGATATCAGATCACGCCTCTCTTTTACAGATGTGTGGTTGTGTAGAGGAACTGTTTACAGGAAGACAGACCAGGGGCCTTTTGTATTTGCAGCTTCTACAAAAGGAAATACTGAGCAAGGCTTCCTGAACTAAGCCTAACTGTTGTCCTCCTTCCATGCTATTGGAGAATGAAGGCATGTGCTCGTCCAGCAAAGAAGCAGCCAACTTTCTAACTGCCAAATTTTTGCTTATTGTCAAAGAAATGAAAATGTTGTCATCATTTACTCACCCTCATGACTTCATTTCTTCTGTGGAACACAAAATGAGATGTTAGACAGAATGCTATGAGAACTATCAGAGTCAGTCACCATTTATTTACTGCATTGTTTTCATACAAAGGTGAGTGGTGACTTAAATTGTGATTAATGCCAAACATCTACTTTGTTTTCCAAGAAGAAAAGAAAACATAATTGTCACAAGACATACCAGCAAAAACATGAAAGAAATGCACCAAAAAATGGTACTTTGATTTACTGTATTTTTTGTTTTTCACAGAAGTACACTTTAACAAACACTAATAAAAAACAACAGTTGATGTAAAAAATTAAGCTTAATGTAAACTAAGATTTTCTTCGCCTTGGGATTTGTTGACTACTATCTAACTTACTTGAGCTGATTCATATTCTTATGGAGAAAAAACAACCCAGAAAACAAATCGAAGTAGCAAACAACTCTGCATTATCAAAACAAGGCTGTCCAAGTATTTAAAATAAAAAGCTCAGTAATAAATCAATACACATCACCCTTTCTGAATATCAAGAGATCTGCGTACTGCTGGCCGAGCAGATTTTGCATTTTCAACTCACCAGAACTCCCGCAAACCTCTTCAAAGTTTTGCCTCCGCCTTTTTCACTCTCATAAACTGATTTTGCTGCAAGTATAATGAGAATATTTCCCTTGATATTATGATTTGCGACGCCGTGTCGACGTGCTTGTAAGTTTTTTTAGTTAACTTCTTCTTGGACCCAGGATCTGCCTGATATGGCGGAGGGGAAGCGGAACTGTCGACCCAGCCCAGTGTTTGGACACTAAACGTAGGTTTCACTAAACGTAGCTTTTTAGGTTGGACAGTGTTTAATCTAATCTATTATTCATAAAAATCTGAATTAATATTATTAAACTGCGCGAAAAACGAACGGTGATAAGAAGTTTTCTGCAACCTCAAACTACTGTTTGCAAATGGGTTCCGTCCATGAATGCTGACGGCTCTGTTGCATGACGGGAAATGTAGTCTACATTTGCTTGCACTACACTTAAGTGGAGTACACTAAAAAACTACATTTCCCTACACTGATCTGATTCTAACTTTGCCAAATGATTTCATTCTACGATTCACCGATATGCCAAAGTAAGTGTTTCAGTCCTATGAGAGCCAGGCGTTTAGATAAACATAAATACTTAATTTATATATTATAGATAGTAAGATGCAAGCTATTTAAACAAGCCATACAAGTAACAACATAAAAAAAACTTTATTCTAAGGCAAAATGAAAAGAGATCCAAGCCCTCTGCTGGCACCAAATGGAAAATACATTTAATATTATTCCCTATTGTTACATTCATGGTCGTCTCCATAGGAAAGGCACATTTACAAAAAGGTAATTGATTTCCACTGAATAGGCTGTAATAACTGGACATTTGATTTAGGATGCATTGTAGAAGTAGACTATTTTTTTCTCATCTCTTGGGTGCATCGTGGGCAGTACCTGTAAATGGAGAACACAATACTTTAAAACTGCAATATTAAGTACAATATTAAGATGGAGAAGTCAGTCAGTATGTGAAGTGTACTAATAAAATAAATATGAAGCATAGAATTTGGCTCACCATTTTCCTTTTGGTTTGGTTGTTAGGCCAACACAAGCAAAGTGAAACCATTCTATTGGACACTGTTAAAAGAGAAGAAACCTTCCTTTTCATTCTTTTACATATAAACTTTTTTTCCCTTATTTTATTATGTAAACTGTACTTGTTTCTGTGTGACAATTGTATTTTCTCAAACAATGGCTTAACAAAATAAAAAAATGATTTATATTAAATAACTATTACTCACATCAGAATCGTCACATCCAATCATTTCTCCATATGATACTTGACTACATAAACAGTATGTGGGTTCATTAGGGTCCACAGGCATATCCAGGACATCTGATGGGTGCATGGCGAGCAGAGATTCACTTATGTTTGCACTAGTGTTTGAGAGACAAAACACACACACACACACACACACACACAAAAGTTGAATACAAAGCCTTAAAGGGGTCATATGACGTTGCTAAAAAAGAACATTATTTTGTGTATTTGGTGTAATGAAATGTGTTTATGCGGTTTAAGGTAAAAAAACAACAACATTATTTTCAACATACTGTACATTATTGATATGAATATTTAAATATGAAAACGTACTTACAGACTGCGAGTCAGCATTATTTGTCAGAACACCGGCATTGTAGGCTACTCTCCCAGGAAACAGTCCTCGTCCTCCGTAAAATGCGTTGCACACATCTGAATATTTGGGTTGAAGTGTTCTGGAACAGTGTTGTAAATACAACTTAACCACTGATTTCTAGTTGTGTCCTCTTTTGGAAGGCCAAACAAAGTAGTTTAGCTTTCACACGAAAACACACAACGTCTCCCCGACATGGCGGCAGCGGCAGCAACAATACTACAGTGAGAATAAAAGTTACGCCTTCTTTCTTTGCGTGAACATTTGGGCGGCGTTATGCAAATCTTCCCACACAGTGACGTAGACATGTGAGGGCGTGTTTAAACGAGGCGTTTTAGGAGGGTCTGGACGAGTCTTAACTTTTATAATAATAATAATAATAATAATTTATGCATTTAGCAGACGCTTTTATCCAAAGCGACTTACAGTGCATTCAGGCTATACAATTTTTTTTTTTTACCAGTATTTCTTTGGGTTTGAGACTTTAGTCTTTGCAACTTTAGGGATCTTATCTATTCATGAACAGCTTGTAACACTCCAAAGAGAAAGGAAAACTTGAAATCGCATCATATGACCCCTTTAAAATAATATACACATGCATCAATCAAATGTGTCCTTTTAATATGACAGTTACCCATTTTTCTGTTTTTTCTGCTTGGGTGAGTCTTGATCTGATCCTTTCTTGTCTCTTCCATGGGATGCCCTCTTTTCTTTTATATTCTTATCCTCTGAAACAACAAATGAGTCTGTTTAGGCTCACCCCAAATTACAGCAAAAGGGATACACTGGGCATTGATTGTATTGATACATACATGAAGATAAGCTCTGAACAATAAGACTTACTTCGAGATTGCTTTTCATCTGAGCTATCCAGACTGCCTGAGTCCAGTTTCTCCTGCAGATCATTCTCAAAGCGTGCAAGATCAGCATCTAATCTCCGAATGTGTTTATCCACCTGGAAATGCAAGGAGACTTGTTTATGCTTGATGCATCAAATGGTACATGTAAATCTAAAACTGAGGACTCTGCATCTCACCATTTCATATATCTGCATTGCAAGCTGAACTTTGTCATCGCTGTACTCTTTGCATTTGTTGTAGGCATTTTCAATCTTCTTTAAATGCTGGACACGCTCCTCGGATGCCAGATTTCTAACTTTTGCAATATACTCAGAAGCTAGTTCACTTATCTCTGTTTTTTTCTCTGTGAACAACAGTAAGAAAATAATTGTTCATTAGTCATAATTTAAAAAAAGTTAACTGTAACGGCCTCTGATACAAAGTGGTCCAAACATTCATACCTTCAGTTCTATTATCTAAATCCTCCATTAATGAGAAGTTTCTCTGCAACTCGCAGGGAAGTCCCTCGATGCCTGGAGCAAATGATTATAATTAAAAATCGTGCAAACTGTATTTACATGGCAGGAAAATAAACAGCATGCATGCGCTACAGGAAGTTAACTTTACATACTGAGCAAGGGTATTATAAGACACAAAACATTACTTAGGCACCACTCAGTCATGTACAGTTCAGCATTTGATCGTAACATAAGACTGATAAACTTGTAATGCTGAAACACAACGACTCCTCAACTCTCAAGTGGGGTACTCAAGAGGAACTCATCTCATTTCATACAACTTGACAGCATTTAAAATGTGGCAACGAGTTTTTGAAGAATGCCGTTTAAAAACTTACTGTCTAAATAATGTTCTAAGTACATTCCTTTCGCCATTCTGGTTTGTGTTGGCTTTGTACTGCAGGCGTGTACGATGGTTTATTTAGCGCGCGCTGAATTTCCCTTTCTGGAGTCGCTGGGTAGGTTATTCGATTTTTATATGGAAAAAAAAAATCTTCTTCTTCTTCTTGTACGATTTTATGGCGGTTGACAAGCCAACTTATGGTGTATTACCGCCACCAACTGGACTTATGAAAAAAAAAATGATAAACTTGACTGTACTACTAAACGCATACTGTCCACGTGGTTTATATATCAGGAATTGTAGCGTAACATCTTTATCTGTAGTGCATCAAGTCACAACTTGCTATACATCGCCATCTACTGCAGTGGAGTAGCAGCCCGCTGCTTCGCTCTCTGAAAAAGCAAGACAATGCAGGGAATGTCGATTGGTATTATACATTTTTATATATGTCGTATACTCGGTCGTAGGTTTCTTAATATTAACTGCAACCTTATGTCGTTTTTGATAATGTTTAAAAAGTGAGGAACAAGACAACGTGATACAGTCTATGGATGATGATACATACTGTAAAATGTTCAGAATTTACCACAAGGTGGCGGTGTCGTCTTAGGTATTAAAGTGACAGGTTGCATATGGGATGATATTAGACTCAAAATGATTAATAGATGCACGCACAATTATCCATGTACTGCATACATTTTATGCATGTATCTTACTAACCACAAACAAATGCTTTTCAATTTGAGTCTGTGGAATTCCAGATTAAATGATTGTGCAGTGATTTGAACAAATACAGACATGTTTGCGAATAAAAATGTTCTGTTCTGCATTAATATATCATAAATTGCTCATGCAAAAAGGAATCCATGCATTTGTGGATCAGGTGACACGTGTGCATTTATTGACATCTTGTTCGAGTCAATTTTTTGTTTTCATTTGGATTTTGAGACTTAATTTTCGCAGTTTGCAGCATTTCACGACGCTCACACACACAACTACCAATGAACAAGGCCCAGTGAAATTCATTAACGTGTACACGATTTGAAAAATTCACAAATGTGCGTCACTACACCGAAAACAAATGTTGTCTGCAGAGTGAAGAATTACATTAATGTGCAGCATTTTGTTCAAATAGAGACATATTTGTGAATACAAATGTTATAGTTTGTATTAAAGTATCATAATTTGTGAATGTAGCAATTAAAATGTGCATTTGTGGATCAGGCGACGCACGCACGTGCTATCATTCACATCTCTTCTGAGTCGATTCTATTTGATTCATTTTAATTTTGAGACTTTCGTTCCGCCCTTTTAGCCTTGCCCAATCCAAACTCACAGCTCGCGATCCACACGCAGCTGAGCCGCAGAAAATCAGCGACATTTTTTTGAAGGCGGTAGCACATTCTGATGGCTGGTAGGCTGTTGTGGAAAAACTACCTTGCTGCTGGAGCTATTTTTATTCCGGCCAGCAGGAGGTGCTCATTCCCTGACTTGTATGGGTCCAAAAGTCTTACTATAACGATACAGACTTCAGATTGTAAAAAGAAGCAACCTTTTGATGAAGAGTAAAACCGGCCCCTGTAAAAAGGAACATTATTCAGATGAGACATTAAACTGGCCTCCTGACATTCTGTTGTCATTAATTCCCCACCTTAATCATGAATTTGACCTCATTGTTTAAGGTGGAAGCACATCCTGATGGCCGTATTGAGCTTATCAGGATGCGCTACCCGTCTGTTAGAGCAGCTTTATTAAAGTGCAGAGTACAATTGCAGCTGTTGCGTGCAGTAGGCAGAGTCTGGTTCCACACTAAAGTTAAGCAGGCCAGAGCCTGGTCAGTACACTGGTGGGAGGACCTTTTGTGAAAAACTTGCTTGCTGCTGCAACTAGTTTTAATCCAGCCAGCAGGGGGTGCTCATTCCCTGGCTTGAATGGGTGCAAAAGTCCTAATATAATTACTTTTGACTGTGAAAAGGAGCATCCTTCAGATGAGGCATTAAACTGGCCTCATGACATTCAGTTTTCATGAATTCCCCATCTCAATTACGAATTTGACTTGGGGTTTTTATTTTTATTTTTTTATT